AAAAAAAAAAGGTGCCTATGTTAGGCGAAAAGTAAACGGTTACCAGTTCGGTTTCGACATCTAATGCGAACAGTCGCAAAATCATAAGCGGGTTACGTAGAAAAGATTACACTTATTTCTAAAATAAATTCCTTCTAAATTCGAATTGTACGGACTCTACATGAATCTTTATAAACAATTGACGAATTGAAGTTGAACTGGGAAACGTTATCAAGGTTTAACACACGGCGAGTTAATTATTGCACGATCGATTGAAGAAACCGGAATATGAGGAAGGAACGTAAGTTCGCGAGACCGGACGACCTCGAGGCGAGTATCTCGAACGCATAAACCGTGATCTAGGATCTAGATCGCGAGGCCGTTAATCGCTTACTCGATCGCGACGACTCCGCTCGGTCAGGCCTCGCCGCTGCGCCCACGCGCGAGATGAAAATATTCGATCGAATAAGTCACACACGCCGGGGGCACCGTCACAGACAGGTCGGCGTATGCGACATTCCCCGGCTGTTAATATGATAATTGACTCGTCGCGGGCACAAAACGCGTATCTGCCGACCGGATCGGGATTACGTATCTCTCGGCGCGCAATCAGCGCCGCGTGGAAACTCATTTCGATTCCAGCTAGCGAAAAACGAGATTCGCTCGGTTGCCAGCGACCGTTCCCTCTTTTTTTTTTTTCCTCTTCCTCCTTTTTTACTCGCAACACGCCTCTTTTCGTCACGTTCCGCGGGCTGCAACATTGTCGCGGCATACTAATTCCGATGCAGATTAGAAAGCGCTTGGCGCCTTCAACCGGGTCGCCGCACGTTTTCAAACTATGCCTATTCAATTATTCCTGCGCAGTGTCGATCCTTTCTATAGCTCACATTAATAAACAAATGGACATCTCTGAAAATATTTAGTTACGACCCTGGATCTTTATGACAAGATAAAACATTTAACGGGAGAAGATCTAAGGTAAAGGAAGTAGTACTGGGACAAAGCGAATTTTAATCTTTGGTATATACTCACTATCCTTCATCCATCTATACTGCCCAAAAATACATTATCTTTCTCTCTCTCTCTCTTAATTTCTTGTCCAACATTCTCAACCGATTTACCACACGTTCATCCTCGTTTCCATCTAATATTTCCCTAATCGAACATTCTCCTCTTATAAGAACCGATTCACGATTCTTGGACAACGACTCTTATTTATATAACATATATTTTAAAGGAATATTTCAAACATGTCTACAAAATTTGATAAGTTCTTGCAACGTGATTCTACTAAATAAGGTAAAGGAGNGTTTTGGGCAATATAGGTATATACTAAGTTTCAGTCTTTCTAGTGTTAAATACATATCTATTATGTCCAAGTACTGGTTCTAAAATTCGTTTTGTCCCAGTACTACCTCCTTTACCTTAGTTAGAAACAACCATAACGCGTGTTTATTTGACAAATCACGAATCTCTAAAATTCTATACTAAGTTTCAGTCTTTCTAGTGTTAATTATAACGTTGTTCGCGATTAGTCATACGCACGTGTACCGTAATTTAATACGTGTAAACAGGGAAACCGTGAAATGAACCGTGAAATGAATTCTCCGAATTATCTTTTAATAATGTTTGTAATAAATTCGCAGTCTATTGATAATTAGGTATGTAAAAGATAGAATCTACAGGGTTCGTCGTTGGTTTATTAAAAAGAAGCTGCAGTGAAATTTTGCCAGGTTTATCTGGTTGACCGAATGTAAAAGCATGTACGTATCCGCGTTCGGGTCATGAGGCGTCGGACATCAAAGCGGGCACTCGAAATAATTAACAGCCCGGAGCGAGATGTAACCTGACCGAGAGACACGTTTGGCTTTTGTGCAACGGGCGTCGGGAACGAGTTCAAAGGCTCGAAAGGATTCAAAGCGTCGCGTCGCCTCGCGCCGACTTTCAAAGGACGAGCCTATCTCCTTATCGACGCGCGCAGATAGAAAAGAGTAAAAAAATATCCGCGGAGAAAAGAACACCCAAAGAAATACATAGATATACACACGGTTTCCTTTCAAGGGATGGTTAATTCAAAAGCTAATTCAACCTGCTGAATCCAGCCCGGATAGAAATTGATTTCCGGCGGCCATTTCGCGGACCGGACGCGCCTGGTTCCAGCATTCACCAGAGATTTCACGCGGATAACAGGTTTCATTCACTCGGGAAAATCGTAAAGGGAAAATTCGCTTGAAATACCGAAATTATGGTCTCGTTAGTATCTGCGCGAATCATGCTACTAAAATCTACCATAAATACTAGATTAGATCTTCTCTACTCTTTTGAATTTTAATACTGTTCCAATTTCATTCAATATTATTTATCGATGGTCGAAGTTACAGCAGAACTGCAT